TCACCTTCTAAGCGACCTACATCAAGGACTGGGGCAACAGAACAGTGGGAAGGGCACTTGCCTTGCATGCGGCCTTCCTGGGTTCAATCCCCAGCATCCCATATGGTCCCCCGAGACTGCTAGGAGTGATCCCTGAGCACAGAGCCAGGAATAAATCTTGAGCACTGCTGGGTATGGTTACACAACAAAATAAATAAAGGTACCTACATTAGGATGCCTGGCCAGCACCTCAAAGCTCAAACACCACTGTAATCTTGAATCTTGGCATTGAATTATCTCATTGGTCGGTTGATTGCGTTGCCAGAAGTGACTCCTGTACCATCTGAATGCCGCTTGGGAGCTCCGTCCTCTCAAAATAAAAATTAAAGAGCTGGAGGGATAGTACAGTGGGTACGGCATTTGCCTTGCACACGGCACACCCGGGTTCAATCCCTGGCATCCCGTAAAGGACCTTGAAGCACTGCCAAGAGTAATTCTGACTACAGAGCCAGCCAGGAGTAACCCCCTGAGCACTGCTGGGGTGTGGCCCCAAACCAAAAAGCAAATCAAATAAAAATGAAGGTATACATCTCATTGCTTCCCTCTGTTCCATCTCCATACTTCCATCTTTTTTCCTTCGTGTTGTTGGGCTCTAACCCAGGGCCTCACACCTGCAAAGCATGTGCTTTATTAACATCACTGACCTCTCCGTTGAACCACAGCTGCAATCCACTACAAAATCGTGTTTCCCAAATTTATCGTTGTTGGTGCTGCTATCAAATCAGTTTATTTTGTATTGAGGTTCAAAGATTTCTGGGAGGTCTAAAGACTCATTTTCTTTATTATGCGTGGTTAGCTAATTCAGGGGGATCGTTCTCTTACTTCAATATTATTCTCCAAACATTTGGAGAGTGGTGGTGCTACACCTACGGGCTTTCAGCTTCGTTTCACCTTTGGAGCCATTTTCCACAGCTAGCAGTGCTGGTGGCGGCGGCGGCGGCGGCGGCGGCGGCGGCAACAGCCTCAGACAGCTGCCTGCTCTCTTGCTGAGCGCCGGCGCCTCTTCTCTGAAATGTGGGCTGTTCTAAATCGTGAAATTTGTGGCCATTTGTTTTAAGCAGTAATAGAAAACGAATGCCTCAGGAGCCGCGTCATTCGAGTGGCAAAGTTTGGGATTGGGGTTGAAGAATCACCTGATGTATTTAAGATGATTCTAAATTTAGACGTGCTGCTCATTAAAAAAAAATTGGAATTCCGGCAAAGAGAAGAAACACACAAATACACCTCTTTTAATATTTCAATATTCAGGCTTTTTTCATCACCAGTACCTAAAGTGACTGTTCCCTCCCAGGATATTTATAGATGCTAATATTTTTTGGCTCTGTAAGGGATTACCCAGAACATCAAATATACAAACTCTACCACAGAGTCATGTCTCAGACCCCTAGACACAAATGTTTGATATTGCTTAAATATTACTCTCCTGTCTTGTCTTCTACTGACTTTTAAAGTATTTGTTTATTGAATCACTATGAGATACTCAGTTACAAAGTTGCTCATGATTGAATTTCAGTCATACAGTGTTCCAAAACCCTTCCCTTCACCAATATCGCCTTTCCTGCCACCAATGTCCCCAGTTTCCCTCATGACCACCTCCTTCCCCCCCTTCCCCCTACAGCCTGCCTCTGTGGGGGTGTTTACTAGCTAAATCAATTTAAGAAAACAATCCAGGGGCCAGAGCTAGCGGGTAGGGCATTTGCCTTGCACATGGCTGACCTGGGTTCAATCCCCAGCATCCCATCTGGTCCCCCAAGCACCGCCAGAAGTAATTCCTGAGTGCAGGGCCAGGAGTAAGCCCTGAGCATTGCTGGGTGTGACCCAAAAAAGCAAAAAGAAAACCCCCAGTTTTCAGGATAATTAAACATTTTTAATTGAATCACAGTGATATACATAGTGATAAGCACACCGCTCTCTTTCTTCGTCTCTCTCATTTTCTTCTTAGGCACTGTGCTTTGCAACATTGTTACTGGTAGGGTATTGTGCCTATCACTTTACCTCCTTGAAGCACTCAGTTTTTGTCCAGAGCATCATTTCCAGAGTGAACTATCACTGTCATAGTGGTGCCTTCTATGTCCTAACTGCCCTCCCCTTTCCACTTTGTGGCAGGCTTTCTACCATGGGCTAGTTCTCTTGGCCCTTATTCTACTGTCTTTGGGTATTATTCAGACATTATATTTTCACATCCCACAAATGGGTGCAATCATTCTATGTTTGTCCTTTTTTCCTCTAACTCATTTCAACCAACATGATACTCTCCATGTCCATCCATGCATAAACAAATTTCATAGCTTCATTTTTCCTATAGCTGTGTAGTGTTCCATTGTGTAGATGTGCCACAGTTTCTTTATTCACTCATCTGTTCTTAGGCACTTGGGTTGTTTCCAGATTCTGGCTATTGTGAATAGTGCCATAATGAACACAGGAGTGCACATGGCCTTTCTGCATTGTGTTTTGGGTCTAGTGGTTTTTTGAATGGACCTAATTGCATTTCAATCTCCTGAGGCAAATATTTTCTTTTGGAGGTTAGTGTTTTAATGGAGGGTCTCACATATGCAAAGCAAATGCTTTGCTGCTGAGCTATGTCCTAGTAGAGGGCTGAGGTCTCATCTAGTTGATTTTTTATGTTCTCCACCTGGCTTTGCTCAGTGAGACTCCAGTAAATGTTACTTGATTGACCAAAGATCTTTGTCCTTCAAACTAACTGCCCCCAATATGATACCTGGAGAGGGTTCCCAGGCTCCCATAGGGATTTTTTTCTTTTACTCAACCACTGTGAACCCCACCATTCAAATTTCCCCTGAAACAATAATGTTTCATAACGTTCTCCTATCTCTTCTACCTTAAACCACAAGTATCCCATGGGTCAAATAGCCTACTTAACTGGGAATATGACCTAACATTTAACAACAAAAACTTTTATTTAATTAGTCAATAGCTAGTAATCAGTAAGGCTTAAACATCTGTCAATGGAACCTGAGATGTATGTTTTCCAAGTTGAAAACTCAGTTTATTCACCGCAGATGGAACATTTTAAGGGAGGGGCTGTTTACTAGTTAAATCAACTTAAGAAAACAACCAGTTTCTAGGATAATTAAATTTTTTAATAGAGTCACAGTGATATATAGAGTTACAAAGTTGTTCATGATTGGATTTCAGTCATATAATGTTCCAATACCTGTCCCCTTACCAGTGTACATTTCCAGCTACCAATGATCCCAGTTCTCCCCGCCACCGCGTAGCCCGCCCCCCTCACCTGCCTCTATGGGTAGGTACTTTTCCTCTCTCTCTCTTCCAGGAAAAAAATTGTGCAGTGAGTTTTACCACTTCATTGACTTTTTTGGGTTTGATTTTGGGCCACATCTGTTAGTTCAGGGTTTACCATGTGCAAGGCAAGAGCCTTACCTGCTGTACTATTGCTCCAACCTCACTTCATTGACTTGATTATGTATGTCACAAAAGAAATACTATAATTTTTCTCTGTGTTCATATTACAATGAAGAGCTTGTGAGCTGCCTTAAAGAATTTGAGACCCGAGGACTTAAATTTTTTTCTTTTCTTTTTTTGGGGGAGGTATAGGGTAGGGTGGGGATAGAACCCCTGCATGTCAAGTGCTTTACCATTGTGTCACATCTCTTAACAGCTTTTTTTGGGGGGAGAGTAGTATATGGTTGGGGACCTAACTCAGGGCTTTACACATACTTTAAGGCTGAGATATAGCCCTCACCCAGTTTCCTTCCCACTTTCTCTCTAGCAAAATGGTTAGACAGTAGAAACACTGAATACATTCACTAACCTATTTTCTTATATCAAGGACTTTTTGAAATTGAAAGTTCTGAAAAAAATCCAACTTGTTGCCTCGATTTCTTAGTAATAATTTCTTGCCTGTGTGAGAAGTTACTCTAAGTCCTTTCTGGAACAAGAAATGAGGTGTGAGTTAATACCAATGTGACAAAATGTCTGAACAGTGGACTTGAAACTGCAGGAGGATCTTAAGAGCTGATTTGTTGAAGGAAGTGGAAGCAATACTGACTCAATCTAGATGTGTGGTTTAGGTAGACGGCAAGTGAATTCATTTATCACTGTTGAATTGTCTTTAGCAATTGAAGTCACCCACTGTGATGATTTGCAAAGCTCTCGGATGAAACCGAAGACACAGCTCAGACGAATCACTGATTTTCAAACGAATATGAATCATCTTTAACATTTTTTATGGTTGCCTTTGCAGTGCAAACTCTTAACATGTTCCTGAGTTATGAAAGCATTTGCCCTGGTACCGTAGAACTAGCCTGAATAGCGAAACGATTTTGAAATTTCGGGGGGAGGGGTAGGGCAAAAATCGGAGATGTGTCCATACATTTGGCGCTGGGTAAGTATCAGTCTTTTTTCATCAAGGTGCCTAAACCAATAGCTGGGGTCAGAATCAAGTCACGTTCAAATGGAAACCCTCCTCCCCGGGTTTTCAGCGACGGTTCTGACGCTCACTCTGTAATCATTTAAATGAACTTTCTCAAAATTGATTCATCCATCTAGTAATTCTCCACTTACGTACACATAAAGTTGATGAAACTTTTTCAGGTAGTCTTGTGTAGACAACAAGTTACAGTATTAGCTAGGTAGTAGTATTTGGCAAAAATGTATCGGTTGTGTGATTATGCTTCCGCTACAGTCTAAAAAATTTTGGATAGTGCTACCCCAATTTCCCAACCGGGAGCGAGTTGACAGGGCTGATCGCATGCGCTCTCGGCACAATCATGTTTGTCGCAATGGGCCCTGAGCGGAAGGTTACATAAAGGTTGATGACTTTGAATCTGGTCATTTTGTTGGTAGCGCTGGTTACCGCGCCACTTCCGCGCTGGTACTTGATTGTAACAGAAAGTAGTTCCGGCCCGTGTTGTTTCGGCCGAGGAGCCATCGCCGCCATTTCAAGACCGCGAGAGGTAGATGGCCAACTAGAGTTTCTGAGGTTGGAAGCTCATAGTTGCTACTGTCGCCCAAGACTTCAACGCACTATTTTTAGTACTGTAACTATTAGCTCTGGAAACATTCTTGCCAGCAGTGGCGGCAGCGGGAATCAGTTACCCTCTGGTTCTCTCAAGAAGCTCCAGATGGCGTCTTCCGTGGGCAACGTGGCCGACAGCACAGGTACCGGTGTCCCGTTCTACCTTGGAATGCCCCTCGGGGTCCCAAGCCGCCCCCCACCTCCTATCATTCCGGTCCTTCCCTTTAGTCACCCCCCATTACATCACTGGCATTGCCGAGCTTTCACGTCGTCTGCTGGCATCTGATCGGGATTTCTGTTCTGTCTGCTCCTTAAACGTGCTTGCCCCTTTCTTTCCTTGCTTCGGAACCCCTAAGTGTGCTAGCTTCTTACTCCTCGGGGACACTTCTGAGCACACGTGCGCGCTTAGAACACCTCGGACTGCATTCGAGTTCCCTGCCTTTTCCCTTTGCTGCGCAACCGATTTCTCCCGGATTCCAATTCATCGCCCCCTATCCGTCTTTTCCCGCTCCTGCCCGTCCCCTTAGCCCGATTTCGGCGTCCCCCGTTAATTTAGGGCGGGGGTGCCATTCCGATGTAATCAGATCCTCACTTTGCATCGCCCAAGGGCGAGCAAAAGAAAAAAAAAATCTTCTCGCTTGCTTGTGTGCTCCACGTAAGCTCGAGAAGAGGGGACGGGGAACGGCACCCCGCTGAGCCGCGCCTTGCCGGTCTCTCCGGTCGAGTGGTCCGGGTGCAGTCTGGAAATTTCCAGGGGTTCCTTTTTGCCATCGCCCAATTCCACCCGCGGCCCTTCGGCTGGCTTTCCCACCCCGCGCTCCCTCCCCGCCCGCGGGGAACCACACCCTTTCCTTCGCGGGGCTGCCAGTCCTGCGGTGCTGCTGCTTCCTAGCCTCGGGGAGCAGCCACTTTGCTGCTTGTGTTTGGCGCTGACCACCCTTGCCCGCCGAAGTCTTGGCTTTGTGTTACTTTCTCGCTGTATTCCTCCGCCATCGCCTCTGGGTTTTCCATCCCCATTCTTCAGCTCAGTATCTCTTTATTCATAGGGTCTGTGTGTGTGTGTGTGTCTTTATTTTATTTTTCTAAGTTTTCATCCCTGCTTGAAGAGTTTGTAAAGCAATTGAAGTGTGGCTGCACAAGTGCAGTGTAGTTTGCTCTTTCAGAAAATCCAGACGAGAGAATTTCATATTCAGAAGAAGAAAACAACCAAATTACAGGGATGCCCTTCAGCTGCCTTTCCGTGTTGAGGCTGTTTGGGGTGGGGTGATGGAATTGGGCTGCGTTTCTAAGAACCCCCATGAATGTGTCCTGTGCCCGGCCCCCCTCCCCTTCAGTTGAGATGTATTAGAGGTTTTGCTGGGTTTGGACTTTGTGGGAATAGGTGAATCTTTGATCGTTTCCATGATTGTAGGTAATGGGATTAATAGTGTTCCCCTCTTGCTTCCTCGCAAGAGATTTTTTTTTTAAAGATTTGAGATTCTGAACTAGCTAGCCCTTTTCCTATACGTGTTATACTGAGAAAGTTTTCCTCTCCAGAGTTAAAATAGCACATACGTGGCTTTGAAAAGTGATAATAATGAGTTTAAATATGGATTTAGAAAGTTCTAGACACTTGGTCTAAAATGTCGTTTTCTTGTGGTCATGAGACATGGCCTTCCCCAGACTGGATGTTAGTCTCTACTAGTTAGTGGTCAGTTGTATCAGAAATTTTCCTTGCTTTTTTAAGTGTACAGATCACTAGCCAGCTGTGATGATAGGCTTAAATTTGAGCTTGTCATGGTGACCTTGGTCGAATTAAAAGTGATTCGTCCATGGGTCCCCATTCCAAGCTCCTGTTCCAGTACAAATTCCCAGATATGTATTGCTGTTTAAGTCCTAATCAAGATTTAGGTTGTTTTGTCATTTTCCTTCTCTGGGTTTTTAAAAACTGTATCCTTCATATATCTATCTAAATTAAGCCATATATACACAGAATTTTCTTTGTGTATCTAAGTCACAGATCCACAGCAGTTATTTCATTTATTTGTCCTTTATCAAATGTTTAACATTCTCCCGTTTTAAAAAAGCCATTGCAGTTGTAGGTAACTGCTTGGTTTACATAGATAAGAATGTTGGCACTGTTTTAAAGCCAGTGGTAGAGCTCTTTGGAAAATGTTAAATCAGATTGGATGGGACTTAGCTAATTTTGTTTTACTGTGAGTTCGGGGTGGTATAGGAGCAGTGTAATCTTGAGTCTTGATGGAAAATGTTTGACCGACCCCTTTAAAATGTTTTGCCTCATGCTAAATTTACACTATTAGCAGTTATAAAAATGGCACTTTGATGATTTGATTTTTGGGAGGCCATGCCGGTGGTGCTCAGAGCTACTCCTGGCAGTGCTCAGGGGGACCATGTGGTGCTGGGGATCCAATCCTAGTCTCATGTATGCAGAACATGGACCCATTGAGCTCTCTGCCCTCACTGTGGTTTTCAAGTTCTGTCCAACCTTTATACTTGTATCTAGTGTTTCCATTAACTTAATAAAAGAGTAAAATATAATATAAACATGTACTTTGAGAGTTAAAAACATTTGGTATCTTAAGGGAGATTAAAAGATGGTTTGTGACCAGTATTCTGACTCTAGGAAATCCAGCATAAAATTTGAAACAATGTATTTCTCTTGAAAATACCTTATATTTTGTTTCTGTATGTTTACTCAAGCATAAGGAATAATGTTTAGTGAATCTTTAGATACTGCCTCTCATTTATAACTTAAAAATAAAAGTACTTATCCTAAAATGTAATCTTACTTGAAAGCATATATTTCTGTCTAGTCTGTGAAAGAAAAGTAATGGATAAATTTCTAATAATACCAATTCTGCACCTGATGTTAACTTGGGAGTGTAAATTATGTGCAGAACACTCTTGTGCTTTACATAGTTTCAAGCATTTTCATCTTTAAGTTTAATATACCATATTTTTACATTTTTTTGTTTGCATTCTAACTTTTTGTTTTCCCCCCCTCCTTCCCTCAAATGTTTTGATGATTCTCCAGAACCAACGAAACGTATGCTTTCCTTCCAAGGGTTAGCTGAGTTGGCACATCGAGAATATCAGGCAGGAGATTTTGAGGCAGCTGAGAGACACTGCATGCAGCTCTGGAGACAAGAGCCAGACAATACTGGTGTGCTTTTATTACTTTCATCTATACACTTCCAGTGTCGAAGGCTGGACAGGTAGGAGATGTGGGGGTACCTGGTGGTGATTGCTGCCTCTGGGTGCTGGACTTGGAAAATGATAAATATTTGAACTTGAAATTTTCAGTACTGGGTTTCCACTGAGCCACCGACGCACATCTGCTCTCTTGCCCACTTGTGACATGCCCAGCTGCCAGTTTTTCTCCTTCTCTTTGTAATTGTGATTATATTATGATTAGAAATGGCAAGGGACCGTTTCTAGATTTGTTTCTGTCTAGGTCTGTTGCTTGCAGGTATTTATTACTCTTTTCAGGTAATAAATCATTCTAAGTATTAAGTTGGAGCATCCAGTCTCGCCTTTTTAAGATGTGTCACCTTGAGGAACGGAGATGCTCTAAAATGATGATGCATATAATGTGGTAGGAGGTGCATATGTGGTTGAAATGGCAGATGGTAACAAGTTCTGTGTTTTAGTAATCAGCTGTATAAAAGAAAAGGGAAGAATCTGCTTGTCCCTTTATTTTTTTATTTTAATTTTTTTGGTTTTGGGTGCTCAGGGCTTACTCCTGGCTCTGAGCTCAGAGATCACTCCTTGCATGGCTCTGGGGTCTATAAGGATTGCTGGGGATCAAAGTTGGGTTGGCTGTGTGCAAGGCCAGCGCCCTGCTGTATTATTGCTCTGGCCCTGTGTGCTTGCTTGTCCTTTAATAAATTGTCATTCTAACTTATTTAGGCTTCTTTTTCTTTTTTTGGCTTTATCTGGCTGTGGCTCAAGACTTAATCCTGGTTCTGTGCTCAGGCATCATTTCTGGTGGTGCTCAGGGGGACTGTATGCAATGCCAGGGATCGAACCCGGTTTAGCTGCGTTCGAGGCAAGCACCCTACCCACTGTACTTGATCTCTGGCTCCTCTTTTTGTTTTATGGGCCACATCAATATTTAAGAACTACTTCTGGCTCTTTGTTTGGGTGTTATTTCTGAAAGTGCTCAAGGGACCGACCCTGTGGTGCCAGGGATTTAACATGGGCCTCCTGTATGCAAAGCATGTGCCTAGCCTCTTGAGAGTTCTCTCTGACCCTTATTGTTTAATTAAATAAAATATTTTGTTATGTTTTTGGGCCACACCTGGTGGTAATCAGTGTTTACTTTTGGCTCTGTACTCCTGACAGGCTGCGGGGGGAACCACCCGGGGTACCTGGAATTAAACTTTCATAGTTAGTATGCAAAGCAAGTGCCTTACCCGCTGTACCTATCCCTTCAGCCCCTGAAGTAAAATAGTTGTTTTTAGGAATTATGATGGAGGGAGAAGCAGGAATGTCATAAAATTAAAGAATGAAATTACATGTACAAGCTAATACAGACAATTCCAGACATTTAAAGATGTTATAAAATCTTAGGAACAAATCTAAAAAGACACATGTATAAAGGAGTTTCTTTTTTATTTGCTTTTTTTGTTTTTGGGGAGCATGCCTGTGGTGCTCAGGGCTTACTCCTGACTCTACTCAGGTACACTCCTGGAAGGTCTCAGAGGACCATATGTGATTGTGATGATTGAACCCTCGTTCAGTCATATGAAAGGCAAGCACCCTACTTGCAGTACTATCTCTCCAGCCTGTCTTTTTATTTTGATCTTAATAATCATGGTTAAAATGAGGCAGTTTGGTAATATTCTGGTAAGAAATATTTTGCAAGAAGTGTTTAAATTAGAAATTTGCAGAATTTTAACCTTTGACATACTTTGATTTCCAGATTTTTTTATACTACTGTATAAAAGGTAATGTATTATTTAGCAATAGCACAGGATCTTCAGAAACTGAGTTCATATGGGCTGTGGTGTCTTTTAACATTTAACATGCATACTCATGCATCAACGCCTTTTGCTTTTTCCAGGTCTGCTCACTTTAGCACTTTGGCAATTAAACAGAATCCTCTTCTGGCTGAAGCCTATTCAAATTTGGGAAATGTATACAAGGAAAGAGGGCAGTTGCAGGAAGCAATTGAACATTACCGGCATGCGTTGCGTCTCAAACCAGATTTCATTGATGGTTATATTAACCTGGCAGCTGCATTGGTAGCAGCAGGGGACATGGAAGGAGCAGTGCAAGCTTACGTCTCTGCTCTTCAGTACAATCCTGTAAGTAAAATGTTGACAGTTATTTTTCCTTCACAAAAGCCCAGAAAGAAACTTAATTCAGACATCAAGAGTTTTTGAATTGAATAAAATTACGAGTTTTGTCTGTTTACTTAAAATGTGAAATTGCTTGGACTAGATCTGCATTTTTCCCCTTTTTGTGTTTTTTTTTTTTTTTTGCGGGAGGAGTTGGTGGCCATATCTGGTTGGGTTTGAACAGCAGTGCTCAGGGGACTGTATGATGCTGAGGGTTAAACCTGGGCCTCTTTCATGCAAAGCATATGCTCTAAGCCCTTTGAGCCATCACCCCAGTCCACTACTTTGATTTTTGTGGAGGTGGGTGGGATCTACCAAGAGTACTCAGGTGGCTTTGGAGGCCCCCTCCCACCAATCTGGCCACAGTTTAATACTGAAGATAGAATGTAGGGCAAGCACCCTACCTGTTATACTGTTCTCTGACCTCCTGTGCTGTCATCCCTTATAGATAGCACCACCACCTCCCAATTCCAAAAAAACCTACCGGTCTCTAATAAAAAAAACTAGTTCAGAACTTTTGAAGTGCAAAAGAAGAAAGATAGATATAAACTTAAGAGTTAAGTGTAGTGGTGCTGGGGATGTGACTCCTTGCGTGTTTGAAGCCCCTTGGATTGATATTTATTGGATTGATATACACCACAAATAATGATGATTAAAAGCAACAAAACCCTTATAGCCATTATTTAAAGTCTACTATGCATTTTGACATTGTGTTAACTACTTAGGATGTTGGTTTAACATAATGTTCACAATGATCTTCAAAATAGATGATGTTATTTCTGATTTTACAAATACAACTTCTCTTGGGATGGCACAATAACAATGATAAAGTGCATATAAAAAACTGGAGCCTTTGTATCTTGGAAGTAGACACTGGAGCAAGATGTAATAGACTGTGATATGCCTAGAGGATACACTGCTCAAGGCAGCCTTTTTTTTATTTTGGCTTTTTTAGGTCACACCCAGCGGTGCTCAGGGGTTATTCCTGGCTCTGTACTCAGGAATTACTCCTGGTGGTGCTTGGGGGACCATATGGGATGCCGGGGATCGAACCCACTGTGCTATCGCTCTGGCCCCTCAAGGCAGACCTTGAGCAATTTTAAAATCCTATTCTGCTGTTCCATAATTCTATATTTTTCTGGCTAGGAAGCTGAAACTAAAATTAGTATGCTCAAATCTGAAATAACTTTTTATCATGACATCTGTTAACGTATCTTTTCAGTTTTTTTGGTGGTTTCAGAGCTCTGGTTTTGTTCCTGGTGGTGCTTGGGGAGGGAACCATGCAGTGGTGGGGATCAAATCCAGGCCTCCCACAGGCAAAATCTAGGCATCCCAGATGTATGTTAGTTCTTTGATCTATCTCTGTGCCCCTCTTTTCAGGTAATTTTGAAAACTGAAAATAATCTATTATATGCTTTCTTATGGATATAGTGAAAGTTTTCCAGTTAACTTTGGAGGTATCTAGTGAAACAGATTTCTTAGGCTCTCTTTCTGAGACACTTAATCGGTGTATATTTGTATGCAGCCCTGTGAATTACTCTGAGGAGCAGTTCTGATTTTTGAACCGTTGCTTCTGTTTTGATTGTGGATGCACAGCTCTGAGAACTATGTTATCTTCACCATCATGTGTTATTTGTCTTATCTGAATGACCTTTCATAATTTTTTTGGCTTTTGGGCCACACTCAGTGATAACTCAGGATTAACTCTTGACTCTGTAGGGGTCAATCCTGGCAGGGCTCAGGGGACTGAACTCAGGTTGGGTGCGTACAAGGCAAATTCCCTACCTACTCTAATATTTCTCAGGCCTCATCTTTCTGTAATTTTTTTCTTTTTGGGGTAGAGAGTAAGGTTCGGGGTTTTGGACCACACCTGCCAGTGTTCAAGAGCTATTCCTTGCTCTGCTCAGGTGTGATCTTTGGGGTTTCTCAGGGGGGTACCATATATGGTGCCATGGAGTCAAAGTGGGGTTGGCCACATTCATGTCAAGTGCCTTAACCCCTGTACTTTCTTTCTGTCCTTGTTGTCATTTTGGGGGGAGGAGAGCCACTCCTGGCTGTGCTCAGGGGTTACTCAGAGTGCAGTAGATTTGGGTTATTCCTGGTGGTACTCAGGGTGTAGACCATGCTGTGCTGGTGATAGAACCCAGTCCTTCTGCAGGTAACACATGCATATTATCTTTTGGAGCTATTTTCCTGGCCTTCTTTTGTAACTACCTAGCTCTAGTTGCCCACAAAAAGTTTTAGAGGCTCCTGTATGTGCTACCAGTGGGCCTTGGGACCCTGTTGTTGCCAAGGCTTGGAGCTCACCGGTGCACCTACTTGTCATAGAAAGTTCTTTCTCTTTATTAATCATTGCTGGTTTCACCCTTCACTTGTTGATCTATTACAGATTTATTTTGTCCTCTTACATAACTGCGGCCTCAAACATCTTGAACTCTGATCCTCTTGGCTTGGTTTCCGGTTGCCTACATGTGTAGCAGAGCAGTTAGTGCTTCTGACAGCACATTTAGCTGTAGGGTTGAGAAGGAAAAACTAAAGTGGAAGACAGAACCATGCTTTTTGTTAACCAGTCTGCTAAACTAGAAGCTTATAATTGTGCCTTCCCCCTTTATACATTAAACAGCTATGCATTCCCATCTGGTTCTGTTGCCAATAGTAGAAGGTGCTGCTTTGTCTTTCTCAGAAACAATGGAAATGGGACTGTGCAAAAGGTTGACTTGATTTTATTTAAATATGTCATGGTGATGTTTTAAATTTATTTATGTAGAGGATTCCCACCCCCCTTTTGTAAGGAATCAACTGAAGGTAGGAGCTGTCAAGATTGCCTCAGTATATGTATTTGGCTCAGGCAGAGGCAGCTGTGTTTGAACTTGGGCATCACCCTAGTTCGGTGAGGCCTTAAGCTGCTGCTCTTGTGTGCTCCCTACCCCACATCTAGTCTTAATTTACTGTCAAATACCCTTTTCGGGGTAATTTCAGGACTGACAGATTCTTGACTCTTTTTTTATTGGGTCACCCGGCGATGCAGAGGGTTTACTCCAGGCTCATGCACTCAGGAATTACTCCTGTCAGTGCTGGGGGGACCATATGGGATGTTGGGAATCGTACCTGGGTTGGCTGCGTGCAAGGCAAACGCTATCACTCCAGCCCCTCTTGATTCTTTCTAAATATGCCCTTGTTTACAGTACACTGTTCACCTGCATTGTAGATGTACTTGTAAAACATACAAAAATCAGATTATTTTTGTTTTGCAGCAGTGAAGGTGAAATATCAGTGGTAGTATTTTTAATATCTTTTCAGCAGTGTTATCCTTTTTTGTATTTGGGCCACATCAGGCAGTGATCAGGGGCTACTCCCACTTGAGGTATTATCCTTTGGAACCAGGGAACCGTGTGGTGTTTGGGATCAAACTCAGGCTTCCCACATGCTCAGGATGTGCTCAGCCCATTGAACTCTATCTCTGTCCCAGCAGTGCTTATTTGGATGCTGTGTCAATTAAGAGGTTATTCTGTGACTCCATGTTAGAAATTACCGAGGTGTGGGGATGGTTTGGGCCACTCCTGATGGTGTTTAGGGTTATTCCTGCCTGTGGTCGGGGGACCATATGTGGTGCCAGGAATTGAAGCTGGGGTTGCAAAGCAAGAACCTTTAACTCCTGGCCCCTAGACATTTTAAAGACAGCTTGTTTATATTCTTAGATTCTGAATTGGCTTATGCAGTGTTAGATGATTTCGGGCTTTTTGTTTTTGCCATATTTGCAGTGCTCAGAGCCTACTCTTGACTTTATGCTCAAGGGGTCACTCCTAATTATGCTCAAGGGCCATGAATGATTCTGAGAATTGTACCTGGGCCCTGTGTATGCAAAGCATGTACTCTGGCTCATTGAACTCTCTCTCTGACCCTTATTTGATGATTTACTGATTTCATTTGAATTTTTTTTGTTTTGCTTTTTTGAGTCACACCCGACAGTGCTCAGGGGTTACTCCTGGCTCTGCATTCAGGAATTACTCCTGGTGGTGCTCAGAGGACCATATGGGATGCTGGGGATTGAACCTGGGTTGGCTGCGTGCAAGGCTGACGTACCAGCTGTACTATCTCTCCGACCCCCTTCACTGGAATTTTAGTCCATTTTACATGAAATTGCTATGGCAACTGATAATCTTTACACATGATGGCTAACTGGAGTTCCCATACTTATAAATCAAGCTCTTTTATGAGTCATGTATGAAATTGTCCTTTGTAAAATGATTATTTCCCCTAAGTTACTCAAAAGAACCCTGTTTAAGCCTATAGTTTGTTGAACCATTGATTGCTACTTTGATTGTAGATTCACTGCACTAAGGGCTGCTATTATTTTTACCATCCTGTCTTACTGTCATTTGTTACTGTTTCAAACCGTACTTAGTGAAACTGTATAAAACTGTATGTTTTTATTTCTCTATTGTGATTTTTATAAAATTTGCTTATTCAAATGTCATTAAAATAATTTGAGTGCTTATTTTGTGTTCAGTGCTTTGGGAGGAATTGGGGAGATGTGTGGTGGGAATGAAGTTGTGGATAATATAAGACAGGGGCTGGCTCATAAAGGAAAAAAGGTGAAATCTCCTGGATAATTGTTAGAGTATTAATCAGAAGATTTTCTCAAGTGGGTGCTTATAGCCTAAGCATTCTGTAGGAAGGTAAATATTAAGTAGACTTGCTTGGCTGAAGTGGTGAGTCAAGTAGTAACAAGAAGTGAGTGTAGTAGAGAGTCAATTGGAAGATTTAGTAAGAATGGAGACAGAGGAGTTTGAATTTAATTTGAGAGGCAATTGAGAACTAGGTTTTCATCTACCTGATTTTACTTGTGTATGTATAGACATTGTGGGGAGATGGGGTGGCTCTAGAAGGAAAGCAGGAACCATTCTTAGTTTAAACACCCCCTAACCTAAGCAACCCTCTCATGTTTATCTTAGAATGATAGTTCTACAGGAAAAGTCTTACACATTTCCATCTTTACCTTTATTCATACTATTTTTCCTTGTCTAAAACTTCTTACTCTTTTGTTATAAAGCTTTCTCATCCTTTAAGAGTCAGGTTAAATTTATCCTTTGACTTCCCTAGAAATTCTTTGCTTTTCCTCCCTAGTTCTAGGCATATTATTGAACGTTTTTTTAAGTGCAAAAGGAATTGACTTAGGACTGAATAGAATGCACTAGGTTTGAGAAATGTGTTTTTGTTTTGATTTTTTTTGGTCCATACCTAGTGATACCCAGGGCTTACTCCTGCTTCTGTGCTCAGAGTTCGCTATTGACGGTACTGGAATCTTATGTGTTGGATCGAATCCAGGTCTGCCACATTTAAGGCATTACAGACTTTGTTGTACTATATATCTTGAGGAATGTGATTCTCTTAGCAAACGTTTTTTTATTTGATAGAGGAAGCAGAATTGATATCTTAGGTTTTGAACTTTTGGGAGAGCAGTGCTTTCCTTGACTTTTTAGAAATTAGCTGTTTGTGCCTAACAGTACAGATTGCTAAGTGGGAGAATTGAACTTTACTATTTAACATGGGCCGTTTTTTACCTTTCCTAAAATTACCTCACTGATTATTTTATATATATATTTTAGACCATACCTGGTGATGCTCAGCACTATATGGGATGCTGGGGATTGAAACTCGGTTGGCCACAAGCGAGGCAAGTGGCCTATCTGTGGTACTATCACTCTGGCCCCAATTATTTTATTTATTTATTTATTTTGCTTTTTTTGGGTCATACCCAGCAATGCAGAGGAGTTACTCCTGGTTCATACACTCAGGAATCACTCCTGGCGGTGCTCAGGGGACCACATGGGATGCTGGGAATTGAACCTGGGTTGGCCGTGCGCAAGGCAAATGCCCTACCTGCTGTGCTATTGCTCCAGCCCTTGGCCCCAATTATTTTATAATTGTCTTTAAGGTAGTCTCTTTTTTTCTCTTTGCTTTTTGGGCCACATCTGGTGTCACTGAGGACTTAACTCTTGGCTATGCTCAGGTATCATGCCTGGCGAACTCAGGGGACCATATGGGATGCTGGGGATTGAACTCCAGTTGGTCATGTCCAAGGCAGACACTCTACCCTTTGTACTATTTATCCATCCTCAAAGATAGTCTCTTCTTTTTTGGGGGGCACACCTGGCTCTGCACTCAGGAGTTACTCCTGGCAGTGCTCAGGGGACCTTATGGGATGCTGGGAATCAAACCTGGGTTGGCCACGTGCAGGACAAATGCCCTACCTGCTGTGCTATCTCTCCAGTCCCAAAGATAGTCTCTTCTTACTCATGATTATTGTTACAATTTGATTTAATATGCTGTGATGTCTCTAGTTCAGAGGTTTCCAAACTTATTTGGCCTGTGATCCCCTTTTGAGAAAAATAATTAGCACCTTCTGTTCACTTACCTCCTTTAAGTGGACATGCAAAAAATATCCCTGATTTGCTCCTGAGGCTTCTACCACTTCCTCCCCTGGACTGTTCCAGTACCCCCTGGGGGGTCGGTCGTACTCTAAGGGGCCCCTAGGATATTCCAAGTGGTGAGTCAGTGGGTGGGGTTCGGGATGGGCCTGTTCTGGGAAGGAAGCAAGTTTGGAAGGGGTCACAGTTGGTAAAAGGTTGAGAAACACTGCTCTTCTAGATGATATAGCTAAATATAGGTACAATGTCACAACTTGCTTCCGTTTAAGAGTTGATAGAACCCAGAGGGTAAAATTACACAAGTCAGCTAAAATTGTTAAATGATTTTAAGAATTCTGATTATGGCACAGAAATCGCATAGCTGTAGGTAAAAGGCCAAAGACAACACAATAAGCTTAGCAGAAGAAATGTGTGTGACTAGATTGAATTATTCAGTTATGTCTGTCAAAACAGGTAATCCTTAAAATTTAGAGAAATGACACAGATGACAGAATTAATGATGCGTATAGGGTTAGGAGTGTCTCAATTCATTAAAGGACTGTATCTTATAAGATAAATGATATTATACCTCTGATGTTTTGAGTTTTATTTAGCCATTGGGCTTTATGCTTGAGATCATGGGAGAGAGACAGCCATCCTTTCTCCAAAGTGCCCAGATGTTGCTAGTTATGGCAATCATAAGGATACAGCTTGGTGGTGGTTTATTTGCTTTCTGACTTGGTTCACCTGTCATTAAGTTCACTACTTAATGACAATTTTTTTTTCTTTTTGGGTCATACCCTGTGACGCACAGGGGTTCTCCTGGCTCATGCACTCAGGAATTACTCCAGGCAGTGCTCAGGGGACCGTATGGGATGCTGGGAATCGAAACCGGGTCGGTCACGTGCAAGGCAAACGCCCTACCTGCTGTGCTATCGCTCTAACCCCGACAAAATTTTTTTTATATGTGAAGATAATCACCTGATTCTGGAAATCAAAATGTGGTTGTATATAAGAAATAGAGGATGATACTTGGGTGAAATAGATAAAATCTCACTTTTTAGAACTAAATTTTTTTTGTGAGGGGGGTATTGGGCTACACCCAGCTGTGCTCAGACCTTATTCCTGGCTCTGTGCTCAGGGATCATTCCTAGTGGAGGTTGGGGACCATATGGGATGCTAAGGGATCAAAGCCTGGTTAGCGGTGTGCAAGGCCAAGTGCCTTACCTACCCTCTTTGATAATCATTTGTCCCCAAAGGGTTTTTTCTCCTTACTTTGTTTCTTTGGGTCTTACCCAGCTGTACTCAGGGCTCCTAGCTCTGTCCTCAGGAATCACTCCCAGTGGGCCTTGGAACGATATGCAGTGCTGGGCATTGAACCCTAGTGGCTGTCTGCAATGCAAGCACCTTACTTGTATATCTCTCTGGCCTCCTAATAAATTTTTACCCTTGTTACTGCTTGGGATGATAAGCTGACTCCCTACTGTTATCTTTATTGACAGTAGATTTGATGGGAAAAGGCGAACAAGAACAAATAAAAATTTATCCTCATTTAAAAATAAATTTGGACCACATGTGATGGTGCTCAGCGCTTATTCCTGGCTCTGTGCTCAGGGATAACTCCTGTCAGTACTTGGGGGATCCCAGGGATTGAACCCAGACTGGCCACGTTGATGAACAGACTGGTGAATCAGGTGACTAGCAGCAATATTGCACGGCTAATAAAAAGCATAATCAACTCCTTTATTTTCCTTTGTGTTTTTATTTTGAGCCACACCCAATGGTGCTCAGGGCTAATTCCTGGCTCTGTGCTCAGGAATCCCTCCTGGCAGGGTTCTGGAACCATATGTAAAAGTAAAAGTAAAGTAAAGGCCCTCCCGTTCATCATCGATTTGCTCGAGCGGGCCCAGTAACGTCTCCATTGGAGACTTTGTTGTTACTGTGTCTGGCATATCGAATACTCTCGGTAGCTTGCCGGGCTCTGGAACCATATGTAGTGCCAGGCATTGAACCTCGTCGGATGTGTGCAAGACATTACCTTCTGTACTCCCTCTCCAGTCTCAACTGCTTTTCTTTATTTACTCAACTTTAATGGCACTTCGATATGCCAGACACAGTAACAACAAAGTCTCCAATGGAGACGTTACTGGGCCCGCTCGAGCAAATCGATGATCAACGGGAGGGCCTTTATTTTTTTTTATTTTTTTTTTAATGGCACTTAATGCTAATGAGTATTAGTATTAAGTGGCAGGTGCCAGGGTGGAAGGTTTGGTTAGGTCGTAATCCAGATAAACTGAAGTCCAAGTTTTTAAATATGCTAAAGAGCCTAAGGGTAGGTTTACTGATAGCTAACCATAGGTACTTTTTCCCCCACTATGGAGAATTTTTGGCTCTGGATAGATTGTGATTGATCATGACCTTGGACAAACTATTTGAACAAAGGGGTGAAGCTTTTTTTTTTTTAAAAAGCATGACTTATGTTTGAGTTGAGAAACTATATCTGAAGCTGCTAGGACCAAATGCATTTTGAAATTCAGAATGTTTGGGCTCCTAGAAAGATGATGATACCATATATAAAACCCCCAGGTATGCCTGGAGTAGCTTTGCCTTTTGGTAAATCACGTTCATATCTGCAGTGAAAGGTCTGAGTCCTCACACGACGTTGGAGCAGGAATGGTAAATTCTATAAATTGCTTCTTGTTAGTAGCCAGCCAGTGAATTTTTAGAGCTTTCTGAAGTTTGGAGTTGAGGATGAGGCATTTTAGTTCTGAACTTTTACTTGTTAATCAGTATCTTTAGTTGACTCAATACCATGGCCAGGAGCTAGATCTTGAATATTAGCAGTAATTCAAAAGACGTTTTTGGTGAAGAAAGCAGAATATGATTAATGATAAATATGTCTGGGTTTCTAGGATTTGTACTGTGTTCGCAGTGACCTGGGGAACCTGCTCAAAGCCCTGGGTCGCTTGGAAGAAGCCAAGGTAGGTGTTTGCTAGAACACATTTAAACATCAGTGTTACGAAAACTTGTACTTTTTGCCAAGTCTTCAACTCTTCATTGAGCTATCTTCACAAAACAGTCCTATGAAACAGAGGAAAACTGACGGCATGAATCACCCCAGACTAGAGCAGGGCCAGGCTTTGGCATATCTGTTCTAAGTCTGGGAGTAAAGCAAGAACCTGAACATTTTGGAGCCTTTCTGCTGAGCTAGATCATCTTTTAACAGTGGGCTCCGACATGATCTCATGTTGGAATAAATAACATTCCTTCAAATCTGAGGCTTGCCTGCTGGTGACAAGCAGAGCGCCTGTGATTTGGCTCAAGACTCCTGTATGATGCAGGTGCCATTGAATATGCTGCTCTTCTAAGTCCTTTGTGGCTTGTAAGTGGAGAAGAATTTCATCCAAATGTTACCCTGTAATACTGGCATTTAAAATTCTTATTTAACCTTCCTCCCTCCATCTTCCTTACCCTTTCACAGTGGAAGAAAGGCTGTTAAAAATGATTGCAAATTAATAATTGGAACATCCCGCCCCTTCGCTCGTTCCCACTTCCTTTCCTCAAGTTCTTTTCCCCTCTTTTCCAGTCCTAGTTGTCTACCTTCTCTTTCTTCCTTCTTTTATTCCTCCCCATCCCATCTCCTTGGAAAAAAAATAGTCAGAAGGACAAAGCTGGCTTGTTTGGGAAATGGACTGATCGAAAGAAAACTTGCCAAAGTGGAAAGGTGGCTTTTAGCATTCCTTGTTTCTAAATACTGAATTTGAACGCCAGGTTGGGTTATTAAAGCTTTTGGTGTAATTTTAAATTAAATTAAAAATGCGATTGTTTTGTTACAAGCCACCTTACGCAACCGCGCTGCAGGGGTGAGGAGTGGGGAGAAACCAGAATGCTTCTGAAACTCCCACCTGTTGCTCTGAGCCCCACGCGCATGCTAATTCGTGGAGTGTATGCGCAGCGTAGCTGTCTGTTTGCTTTATCTAGGGAGGGAGAAGTCTTTTCAGCACCATCTAATGTTAAAAAGGCACTATTCTTAAGTGCATAGTTCATAAATTATGCTGACACTTTGGATTAACCTTTTGTTGGTTTCCAGCTTATTAATTATAATTGATTCCAATCCTAGATGATAAATCTAATTGGTAATTTTTGAACAAATATTTGATAAGCTCCTATTAATTATCACCCCACCAAGCGGACAGCTAACATGAATTGCACTTCACTGCAGCTTTAGAGATTGGTTTAGGCTGAGACATTGCGCCTGCCTTAGGTTGCTGACTTCTTTATTTCAGAGCTCTGGAGACACCTAGTTTGAAAAATGTTATTCTGTTTTTGCGAGAACTTAGCAAACAAGAAAATACTCTTGAGTGAAATGCAATGTATTTCTTTTGTAATCAGTGCATTTGAAAATTCAAGCCAGCATGTTCCTAGTAGATAGAAGCAAAATTAAGTTGTCTTTATAGTAAATGAAGAGCCTTTCTTCCAGAAAAAAAAAATCCCCGCTGTATGCAATAGCCCTGATTAACCCTCTCCCTTCTGCATGTTTCCCATGTTACAGATTTGAGACTGTCCTCATTCCCATATGTAATAGACATCCAAAGAATTTCAATTGCTTTGTTGAACTTTTACTAATGATCTTGTTTTTATTTTCTCTCTTGTTTTTGGTTTTTCACCATTGATATTGTATTTAGAAGGTTTCAGGTGGGTGAAACCTCCTATTCCATGCGTAAGGTGCCTCGCTGAAGGGAGCTCGAGGCCTGGATCTAGGGCAGACACACACCTCCTCCTCTTCCAGCAAGGAACGCACCGAAAAGTCACATGATGAGAAATATGGTAACGGGTTTGTAACTGCCACAGCGAAACAATTTGCCTCCATGCCTGAATCTTCTGTCTTGTGGCTTCAGAAACAGCTTAAAATAATTTTATTACAAGCAAGTTATGTAAGAGAATGTTTTATACTATGGCCACAATTCTATCAAAGATAAGTAAAAGTTAATTGATATTAAAATTATTAGAGATAATTTACTAGTTAAAGCTTCTAACTCTTCTTGTTGTTCATTTTTTTCCTTTTTTCTTCTTTGTTTGGATTGCAGCATTCTGCTCTTCTGATGATGCGCTGTGACCCTGCAGTAGCGCAAAGGCTGCGCAGCGTTAATGCGCAATGCGTGCAATGAGCCCCTGTGAACGGTTGACTAGATGAGTAATCTGATTGACTGGCTCCCTCAGTCCCATTCTGTAGCCTTTTTGGATAAAATTGGGTTTTAACATACTTCGAGTCCAACTAATCTCATTAAACAAATATTCTCTATGGGCCTGTCTAGTAGATTAATGGATCTGGTTGGCCGTTTGCTACGTCTAGGGGTATTCTATGTAGCGCAGCAGTTCGCAGCGATTGCGCAGTGCGGTGCTGTTAGGTTGCGCAAGCGATGTTTGCGCTCGCATTACAGGGACCTCAACCTAGGTGCAATCCTGTCATATGAGGTTTCAGCTTTAGTCCTCCTTGGGAGATGGGAGAATTGTGAGGATGTAACTTACTTTAAAATTTATTTATTTTTTGCAAGGCTGGGGATCAGACCCAGGGCCTTGCATTTTGGAGACATCCAAACTACAGAACTGCATACCCAGTCTGTGAGGATATGACTGTAATTTCTGACTTGCAGGAAAAAAAAAAACACTTTTTCTCCTCAGTTGCAGAGTTTCGATGTTAGTGAGGAACAGTATTGTTTAGAGTAAAGTTTCCCAAAATGTGTTTCATAACTTTCTGAAGTGTGCCCAGTGAAAGAAGAGTTCCATGGTCAACTAATTTTAGGGAACCCTCCATGTATTACTAAAGGCTTAGGAAAGTTCTGTAGTAAAATTTTTTCTAATTTATTTAATCATGCAATCCTTTTTTTCTAGTGGTATATATTAATGTATTAAAGAACACACTTTGGGGAAATGAGAGATGGCTGGGGAGGAGATGGGAAAAGTTGGCTTTTAGTCACATTCTCTAGGTAGCATTTATAAACTTAGCAAGAACCCTTGGGTATTCAGATAAGAGAAGTTTATCATAGGTTTAAGACAACTTGACAGATAAATTCCAGTGTAAGGTCGGCTATTGGTTGGCAGAACTGAAAATGGTGGTTTGCACTTGGGTTCTGGTGGCGCAGGCGCAGGAGCAGCCAGCTGTGGCAGCGCATTAGTTTTGGCGCAAGCGAGCCTATGCTGCAGGGTCACTTTTGGCTGGTCAGAGAAGGAATAATGATATCACCTTCTTCCCCCCCCCAATCTTTTTTTTTCCCCCTTTGCAAATATTCCCCTTTCCCTTTACCTCCTTCCCCTCCCATCTTCTTTCATTAACCCCTCCTAAGGCATGTTATTTGAAAGCAATTGAGACGCAACCGAACTTTGCAGTAGCTTGGAGTAATCTTGGCTGTGTTTTCAATGCACAAGGGGAGATTTGGCTTGCAATTCATCACTTTGAAAAGGTGAGTCATTAATACTGATATTTTAATAGACCTTTTTTTTTTGTTTGTTTTTTGGGTCACACCTGGTGATGCACAGAGGTTACTCCTGGCTCTGCACTCAGGAATTATCCCTGGTGGTGCTCAAGGGACCATATGGGATGCTGGGAATCGAACCCGGGTCGACTGCGTGCAAGGCAAATGCCCTACCCGCTGTGCTATCACTCCAGATCCAAATAGACCTTTTCTTAACTAGTCACATAATGTCTTTGACAGAATTGCAGTGTTTGCTTAATGGTAATCACAGTTTCTAATTTGTAGTTAACCTTTATTTTTAAAAAAGTCAGCTTTATGATGAAGCAGTTTCATGATAAAAAAGTGATTCCAGCATTTGGGGCAAGAAATATACAAAATAATCTATTACAGTGCTTTTTCACACTGCAAACAAGAATTTCATGTATTTGTTTCAGAAAAACTCAGGAGACAAGTGGAATAGATTCCCACCGACTAAAGATGGGACTTTAGTGTCAGTAGGAATGAGTAATAACAAATATGTTGGAGTTATCAATCTATTTAAATCTGTGAGTTTGTACTTATGTTAAAAGGAAATTAACTCGTCACTTTTGGAAGATGAGCAACTCATTTTAAAAGCTGATTAAGGTCCCAGGGATGTGACTTGGTGGTAAAGCATATGTTAATATATGCATGTGATTTGGGTTTTATCTCTGGCATCATCCCTCATCCCATACCCCCCCAAAAAAAAACTTATCTCAAAGGGAAGAATAATGCGGTTGTCTTTTTTTTCTTTTTGAGTCACACACAGTGATGCTCAGGGGGTTACTCCTGACGGTGCTGGGGGGACCATATGGGATTCCGGGAATCGAAACCGGGTCTGCCTCGTGCAAGGCAAATACTCTAACCGCTGTACTATCACTCCAGCTCCTCTTTGTCTTCTTTCTATATGAACAAGACCTCAGGGTCGCCCACAAGCAATAGTTGATTTGGGAAAGTTACTAGGTTTTAAAATTTCCTTAGAAATGAGGGAGAAAGAGAAGTATGTGTTCAAGAGAGAACATGGGCTTCTCTAGAGTGGAAAAAAGCAAGCAAAGATACATAGAGATAAGTAAGCGAGATATGTGTTCAAGGAAGAACATGGACTTGATGATAACCCTGGGAAAGTTTATTTTTATTCATTTAAATTTTTTGATAGAAGTGCTCCAGTCAGTAATTAAGAGTGATAGAATTTAGAGTATCACAATTAGTAGGATAGATATTTATCAGTGCTCTAAAAAGTAACACAAGCAGACATTATGCACCTTGTGATAGAAGTTCTACCAGTGAAGTGACTTCACAAACAGAAAGTCCAAGTCTGATTAAGTTTCTGTAGTCCTAACTACCACTTTACAGGAAGTGAACGGGATAAGGAAACATTAAAGGACACCATAGGTATGCAATCAGCAAAATCCAAATAATGGGAAGCACTATAGGAAAATCCCTCCCTCCCTTCCCTCCCTCCCCTCTTCCCTTCTTTCCCCTTCTTCCCTCCTCCCCCTTCCCCCCCTTCTCTTTTGGTTCACACCTGGCGATGCTTAGGGATTACTCCAGGTGATGCCCACTCAGGCGAACCATATGGGATGCCGGGAATTGAACCCAGGTCAGCTATGTGCAGGCAAGTGTCCTACCCACTGTACTATCGCTTTCGCCCCTGATTTTTGTTCTTTTTATTTTGCTTTTTGGGCCACACCCAGTGGTGCTCAGGGTTTACTCCTGGCTCTGTACTCAGGAATTATCCCTGGTGGTACTCAGGGGACCCTGTGGGATGCTGGAATTGAACCCTGGTCGGTCATGTGCAAGGCAAGTGCCCTACCCATTGTACTATCTCTGCCTCTTATGATTTCATGCCTTGAACAAATTATAGTACTAAAAATAAATATTCAAAACATTGGCATTAAACGACAACTGATATTTTGGGGGATAATTTTAGAATTTATTACATAACCCCGGTGGAGCGATAGCACAGCAGGTAGGGCGTTTGCCTTGCACATGGCTGACCTGGGTTTGATTTCTCCGCCCCTCAGAGAACCCGGCAAGCTACCGAGAGTATCCTGACTGCGCAGCAGAGCCTGGCAAGCTCCCTATGGCGCATTCGATATGCCAAAAACAGTAACAAGTCTCACAATGGAGACATTGCTGGTGCTGCTCGAGCAAATTGATGAACAACGGGAGGATAGTGCTACAGTGCTATTACATAATCTATCAATTTGAACATAAGGGAAGAAAGAAAATTTCAAAAGTAGCATCTGTAGTGGGCCAGAGAGATGGCCTTATGGGCTGCGAAGTGCATGTTTTGCATGTGAGAGGCCTGGGTTCCATTCCTGATAACCATATGGTTATCTCTGAGCACTTCCAGGAGATACCTGTGAGCTCTGAGATGGGATTATTCCTTAGCACTACTTTTAAACTCAAAAAAAAAAAAAACAGAAGGGACCTCAGAATTGTACAGGGTTATGGCACTAACCTTGCACACAGCCTACCTCGTTAGGACCCTGACACTGCATATGGTTCCCTAAGCATTGCTAGGAGTAATCCTTGAGTGTAGCCTGTTGTCACCCTAAAATAAAAGGAAAAACTAGTATCTGTAGGAAAACAGCCAAAATGTCTGTGCAGCTTATGCCTTTCCAATTTGGGCAGGTGATTTAGGAAGTTGTAAGGGCACCCTGGGAGGCCTTATGCTAATCAGGAAGCCTCTGCACTAACTCTGAATTTCTGAATCCTACACTTGGTTTTACAAGCTGTCACTTGAAATGTGTATAGAAACCCTCTCAGGGTGGGAGAGATAGTACAGCTTACATGCAGCTGATCCTGCTTCATCCCCTGGCATCCTGTAAGGCTCCCTGTGCCTTCCAGGAATGATGCCTGAGCACAGCTGAGTGTGGCCCCAAAAATAAAAACAAAAACCAAAAAAAACCCTCTGATCAAAAATTGTGTTTCAGATCTGTGAGTCGTAGGTCTTAATGATAGTACAGCAGGTAGGGCATTTCCTTGCATGTGGCTGACTTGGGTTTGATCCCTGGCATCCAGAATTGTTCCCAGAGCCCGCCAGGAGTGATCCCAAGCACTGTCAGATATGGGCCAAGAGCTAGAAAAAAATAATAAAATGTATCCTTTTAGGACACAATTCATGTCCCTCCCCACTTTCATTTAAATGCTGTGGTTTATAAAATTGTGATAATTTCTTACAAGCATTCGGTATTCCAATACCAGTCCCACTATCATCCATCCACCATGCCATTTTCCCAGCCACCCTTTAAGGCTGCCCCCACAGCAGGTCCACAATAGTTTGTTTTATATTGCTTGTTACTAATAAATTGATACTGGTATGACAATTTTTTTGATGCTTAAAAATACTTTCTTAGAGGAAAATTAGTGAAAATTTGGTACATGAGGAGTCATGCATGGGTGATACTAATTGGGTTTTTAAAATGAAAGAAATAAAGGCCAGAGAGATAGTATAGGGGTTGAGGTGATTGTCTTACATGTGACTGACCTTGTTTTGATCCCTAACACCACATTAACCATCCCCTGAACACCAAAACTGATTCCTGATTATAGATCCAAGAATAAGTCTTAAGAGCACTGCTAGGTGTGGCCCCAACACCCCCTGAAAATAATTGGAAAGATTTTTTCTTTAAAAAATGAAATAAGTTTGTTTAGAAAATGATTGCAGGTTCTAAAATGATCTTAGAATAAAAAAATTGTAATTGTGAAGTTAATGTGGTAAAACCCAAATTTGCTCTAAATAACTGCCCTGTAATCAATTTTTAGGCTGTTACCCTTGACCCCAATTTTCTGGATGCTTACATCAATTTAGGAAATGTCTTAAAAGAGGCACGGATTTTTGACAGGTGAGAGAAAATTGTTTGATTAATTTTTCATTGTCTGTTGTATTGAGAATTTGGAATGAAATGATGACAATGATCTGTCAAAATGTATACTTTTTTAGTGTATTGGCTTTTCTCTTGATCATGACTTGTATTACCTTCTACTTAAAAATACTGTTGCCTCACTTTTCATTGTTGTCTTCCTGTAAAGTCATTTATTTTGCTCTTTGGAAGTTGAAATTTCCTTTATTATCAGATTTTTGAATGGTTTTCTTTTAGATTAAATTATTTCTTTAATCAGATCCAGAGAGCTAAGTAAATTCTGACTTTTTTCTTTGTTAAAGGAAAACCTCCTTTTAAAAAAAATTCAGCTTACCATATGAGGGTTGCACTCACGAGTTCTTCGTGGAATGTGCCCACTTTTCATCATCACAGGCTTCTGGCTGTGCAAGATGGTCCTGGCTCTGTGGGTGGCCACCCTATGAAGTTTGGGGTGGTACACCATGTGGTGGTGGTTGCTGCTGTGGATGGTGTGTGCATTCTTGATGATGGTGTCTGCACGTAGGAGGTGGTGAACTTCTGCTTGGTCAGTAACTGCTTCATGACCACCATGATGCCCTTGCAGTTGGCCATTAGTTCCATGTCCACCATCTTGCTGAGGCCAAGCCTGTTACAGCAGAAGGGAATTGCAGGCCTTGAGATTATTAGGCTCAGTGCTGTATATTTGCTTGAGGAAGCTGGAGCAGTTATGCATGACCATACACTGCCAGTGTGTGGGTATGGTGGCAGCTTCTCTAGCAGTGGTTGCCGGAAGAGCTGAAAGCCTCATTCTTACATGCAATTAGAAATCTTTCCATTGTGAAATTTTATAAAGATACCACTTTGATTTCAAGTTCAGTATAGTGTGGCATGCATTATAGTGAACTGCAATTGATGCATTCCCTTGGTAAAGTATCACATGAATTATAACAAAGCATCCATTAAAAGTTGTTTGCATTGTGTGTGTTTGTGTGTGTTTCTTTACAGAGCTGTGGCAGCTTACCTTCGTGCTCTTAGCCTGAGTCCAAACCATGCAGTGGTACATGGCAACCTGGCTTGTGTATACTATGAGCAAGGCCTGATAGATCTGGCAATAGACACCTACAGGCGAGCGATTGAATTGCAACCACATTTCCCTGATGCTTACTGCAACCTAGCCAATGCTCTCAAAGAGAAGGGCAGTGTAAGGATTTTTATTTCATTTTTCATTGTTGCCTGGTAGGATTCAAAAAGTCTTTTTGTACTTTACTGTTTTAAGTATTGATATGTGATAGAATATTTGACTTGGTAGTTTCGGTAGTGAGGAAGAATAACAAAAATCTGTTTACAGAAACACTGTCAGTCATTAGGTTTACCTAAGCAATTACTAGAATAATATTGTTGGCTCTGTGATTCCTTGCTATAAGTTTTTAATAGTTATTTTGTTTTCTAGGTTGCCGAAGCAGAAGATTGTTATAATACAGCTCTTCGACTGTGTCCCACCCACGCAGATTCTCTGAATAACCTAGCCAATATCAAACGAGAACAGGGAAACATTGAAGAAGCAGTTCGCTTGTATCGTAAAGCATTAGAAGTATGTTGAGAAAGTTGTGGTTGAGTTTTGTTTCTGGTATCAGGGAACATAGTTTGGTTGGCCATGTCATCTGCCTCTTTTGTAAAAATGCTGAATTATTATTGAACCAGTCATTGAGTACCAAAGGTACTTGAGGTACTATCAAGAAGATCTCTAAAAGCAGTTAAGAAGATCTCTAAATGCAGTTTATTTTACGGGTAGATAAGATCTGCAGAAATGAACTGAAAAATAAGCTGTAGTTCAAGAAAAGTCACCAGTGAGTACTTACATTCCCAAGTTTTTGAGGGTTTGACTCAAGACTTTTTTTTTGGAAACATGGAATTCTGGGGATTGAGCTGGGGTCGGCTGCATGCAAGGCAAATGTCTGACTTGCTATGCTATCTCTCTGGCTCCCTTGAGTTAAGACATTACGACTACGTTGGTATCAAAGTGAAACATTCAATGCAAACCATTATATGATACTAGCAATGGTCACAGCATTTTCTACTTAGGATATTTTCCTTTTATTTGGAGAGGAATGGTGCTCCCAAGCAGTCCTTAGAATGCCTACAGACCTTTCTTGTCAATTCTTGGCTAATTGGGCTGGATAGTTCAATGTGAGTGCTAGTGACCACTAGGACTCATGTTTGGGAACCCCCAGGGCAACATCTGGCAGTGCTTCGTCCTTAGGATCAAGGTGCCGGGTATTGAACCAGGGTCTGTCTGGTACATGTTTTGCTTCTGCCCTAACCCTTGTATTCTCTGGCCCTAATTTATGAATATTAGGACTTATTAGGATATAATACCATTGTAAGTCAAGTTAAGATTGGTATATGATCTGTACCATATATCTCACGTATTACCTGTTGGCTATATTAGTGATAAGTAGAGGTGAGATTTCAGTGGTGCTGAAGTGGTAGGCATAAATTAAAAGGGAGAGATATACTTGATTATGTTTCAAAGCAGAGTATCAAAGGAAGAGGTAGAATTAAGGTACTTGTTAGCCTTTGAAGACTGAGTAGAATTAAAGAAATTAAAAATGGAGGTATATAAAAGTCCTTTAGCAGAGTTTGTTGTGGTAAGTTAATATTGTTGTAGCATTTTCAAACTTTAGTTATTTTGACTTTTTACTAGGTATTCCCAGAATTTGCTGCTGCCCATTCAAATTTAGCAAGTGTACTCCAGCAGCAAGGAAAACTACAGGAAGCTCTGATGCATTATAAGGAGGCTATTCGGTAAGAATTTCAGAACTCACCCCACCCTCCCTTTTTCCAAGTTTTCATTTTAATGTTTGGCATTTGGCATATGCTCAAGTGGTAATAGACTTAGCATCAGAGGGGATTAAAAGGCTTTTTGTACTAAATAAATAAAGCCTTGTGCTCTCTGTTTTAGAATCAGTCCTACCTTTGCTGATGCCTACTCAAATATGGGAAATACTCTAAAAGAGATGCAGGACGTTCAGGGAGCCTTGCAATGTTATACTCGAGCCATTCAGATTAACCCAGCATTTGCTGATGCTCACAGTAATCTGGCTTCTATTCACAAGGTACTACTGTTCTAAGTCTTGGAACAATAATTAATAGCAACTTTTAAATGTAGACATTTTTTAATCTTCCCATTTTGTTTTATTTACAGGATTCAGGGAATATTCCAGAAGCAATAGCTTCTTATCGTACTGCTCTGAAGCTTAAACCTGATTTTCCTGATGCTTATTGTAATTTGGCTCATTGCCTGCAGGTAAAGACTAACAGGCCAGTAATAAGCTTTCAGTATTGTTAAATCACATTTAATTGACATACTGATCTGTGTACTTTTAATAGGTTATCTTACCTATTTACCTTAGGTCAAAAGTACATAAAGTATTATATCCTAGAACTAGGGTTTTCTGGATGATAATTTCTTTTTTGTCTTCCAGATTGTCTGTGATTGGACAGATTATGATGAGCGAATGAAGAAGTTAGTCAGTATTGTGGCTGACCAGTTAGAGAAGAATAGATTACCTTCTGTACATCCACATCATAGTATGCTATATCCTCTTTCACATGGCTTCAGGAAGGCTATTGCTGAGAGACATGGAAACCTCTGCTTGGATAAGGTGTGATTCTTTTGAATTTTAATCTCTTTGTTAAGTAAAATCCAGGTACCAAAAATGATAAGAAAGGTATGTCTGAATGAATTTTTTATACATGAACATAAGTGGAAGTGGAGGGTATGGAGTAAGTGCATGCTTTCACCTGAGTTCATCCTTGATCCCTCCAAAAAGGTAAAAGGACTTTTGTTAGCCATTCTCAAAAGCCCCCCTTAATTGTGTTCTCTCTCAATTGTAACTTCTTTTATTCCTTTTTTTTTGTTTGGAGATTGGTCACATTTGGCTGTGCTTAGGGCTTAATCTTGCCTGACTGTGTAGTCTAGGATTATTTCTGACAGGGTATAAGGGGTGCTGGGATTGAACCCTGGTCCACTTTCTGCAAGGCAGGTACCCTACTTGCTGTCTTATCTGTTCAGCCCTGACATCATGTTTTAAAATTGCTAAGTAATATTCATTCCATTGTCCACATAGAAGTACACACACAGACCCATGAAAAGATGCAAATTTTAGTTTTTTTGTAGGGGTTATACTTGACAGTGCTGGATGCTCCTAGGGTATACAGGGGATTAGACTTAGGGCATATGCTTTACCACTTGAGCTATTTCCTTGTCCCCTACCACAATGATTTTTGTTTTGATTTTGGGCCACACCCAGCAGTGCTCAGGGCTTAGTCCTGGCTCTGCACCCAGGAATTATTTCTGGTGATGTTTAGGGGGACCATAAGGGGTTCTAGGAATCAAGGCAAGGTTGGTCAACTGTGCAAAGCAAGTGCCTTGCCCACTGTGCTACCTTTCTGGCCCTACAACTTGTTTTTTAATCTGTGAATGAATATTTAAATAGATTTGGTGTTTAGGCTTTTTTTTATTCCTTTTTTTGGGGGGGGCTTTTTGAGGGTCACTCCTGGTGATACTCAGTGGTTATTTCTTGCATTTGGGGGATCATATGGGATACCAGGGATTGAACCCGGGTCAGCCACATATTGGATCCCAGAGGGATTGAACCCGGGTCAGCCTTACCCACTGGACTGTCACTCTGGCCCCTCTCTTTGTTTTTGATTTTGGGTCACATCCAGTGATCAGGAGTTACTTCGGGCTCTGCACTCAAGAATTATTCTAATGGTGCTCAGGGGACCATAACGATGCTGGGGATCAAATCTAGGTTGGCCATGCACAAGACAACTGCCTAATCTGCTGTACTATCCCTTTGACCCCCTGTGTTTTTGTGAACCATATCTCTCTGAATGTAGGACTACAAATACCCCACAAAAAGTTTTCTCTTTTTAAAAATTTCATTAAAGCACCTTGATTTTCAAAGATTTTATAGTTGGGTTTTAGACATACAATATTGCAGCTCTGATCCCACCACCAGTGTCACCTGCCCTTCACCAATGTTCCCAGGTTCTTTCCCATATTCCCCCTCACACACTCCTAGCCTCTCCTCTTGACAGGAACGTTTCTAAATTCAGTTGTTAAAATTTGAGGTCTCATGAGTTCAGTGTTGTTGACTCTGTGGTTTGGATATTTGGCTCTATCATTCCTTCGCACCACTTTTGTGCCTGAATCCCTTGGCAAGGCCCTCATTGATTCTCATCTGTGTTCCCCCCCCCATCCATCTTTTTTTCCTTATCCCTATACTCTGGGGCCAAGCTTGATCTGAGCATCCCCCCCTTTAAGCCATTGCATTCCTCATCCAGTTATTCTAAATACCACATAGCAGTGATATAATACTGTATTCATCCTTCTTATAGCTTCATTTAACATCTTCCTGTTCCATCCATGTTGCAGCAGATTGCACAATTTCATCATTCCTTACAGCTGTGTACTGTTTCAATGTGTATATATACCATGTCTTCATGATCTACTGATTTGTTGGGCATCTGAGTTGGTTCTAAATCTTAGCTTATTGTACTGAGTGCTGCAACAAATAATGGTGTGCATATGTCCTTTTGAATGAAGGCTTTTCTTTCTGTCCTATGGATAGATACCCAAAAGTGGAATTGGTGGGTCATTTGGGAGCTCAATTCTGAGTTTACTGAGAACCCTCCATTCTGTTTTCCATAGGGATTGGACCAAACAGTGGTGGCACCAGCGGGGGATGAGGGGTTCTTTTTCACCACATCCTTGCCAATGGGGATTGTGACCAGTATTTTTATATGTGCCATTCTCACTGGTATAAGGTGATATCTCATTGTTGTCTTGATGTGCATCTCCCTGATAATAAGTGATGACTATTTTTATGTGTCTGTTGGCCATCCATTTATCTTCCTTAGACAAGTGTCTATTCATTTCCCCTCCAAATTTTTGATGGGTTTTTAAATTTCTTTGTTGTTGTCGGTCTTTGTGAGTACTTCATGCTGTATATCAATCCATTATCTGATGTGTTTTGTGCAAATACTTTTTCCCATTCAACTGTCATTTAGTTTTAGCCCATGTTTCTTTTGCCATACAGAAACTTTTTAGTTTGATGTGATCCCATTAGTTTTGATTCTGTGGCCTTTGCCAGTGGCGTCTATCGTTGAAGACTCCTTGGAGGTCTACATCTTGGGGTGTTCTACCTTTATTTTCCTCATTGTATTTTATATTCTGGTATGATTTGAATTTGTGTTTTCATATCTTTGTCTATGAGTATTTTTGCTGGAAGCTAGGATATTTTCAAGTTTTGGTTTTTGAGGGCAAGAGTTTCTTTTTCTCAGCATTCTTTTTTGCTACATATTGCTCTGCTCAGTGCTTACTCCTGGCACTGTGCTCAGGGATCTCTCCTGGCAAGCTTAAGGGACCATTGGGGTGCCGGGGTGCCATGGAGTGATAGCACAGTGGTTAGGCGTTTGCCTTGTGCGCAGCCAGCCCGGCTGAACTGGGCTCGATTCCTCCGTCCCCCTAGGAGAGCCCGGCAAGCTACTGAGAGTATCTCGCCCGCACGGTAGAGCCTGGCAAGCTACCCATGACGTATTCAATTTGCCAAACACAGTAACAACAAGTCTCAAAAAAAATGGAGACGTTACTGGGCTCGCTCGCAAATTGATGAACAACGGGAGGACAGTGGGGTGCCGGGGATCGAACTTGGGTCAGCCATGTGCAGGGTAGCCCTACTCACTGTACTACCACTTGGCTTCTATTTTGCTCATTTTTTGGATTTGGATGTTGCTGCTTTGTTAGATACGCAAAAAAACTTCTAGTTGCTAGTGGGATTGTTATCTTTAATTTTCTTTGCTCATTGTTTGCATATAGAAAATATTTCATTCTTGTTATTTTTATCCTATTTACCACAGTCTTCATATTCATTTATAATTTCTAGTAGCCAATTTTGATTTTTGTTTCTGGGCCACAACTGGCCGGGCAGGGCTTACTCCTTCCTGGCTCTGTGCTCAGGTAGCACTCCTGGCAGGGATCGGGGAACCAAATATGATGCCAGGGATTTTTTTGTTTGTTTTGGGGCTATACCCAGCTGTTCATAGGGCTTATTCCTGGCTCTGTGCTCAGGAATTACTCCCAGTAGGGCTTGGGGTACCATATGGAATCCCGGGAGATGTAACTTGGGTTGGCCCTGTGCACGGCAAGCACCCTATCTGCTGTAGTGTTACTATGGGCCCCCTACGTGTTTTGGGGGGTTGTACACCCAATAGTGGTCAAAGTATACTCTTGACTCTGTTCAGAGATCACTCTTAGTGGCATAGGTAGGGACATAAGGGATGCTGGGGATCCAACGTGGGTCAGCAAGGTAAGTGCCCTACCTGCTGTACTGTCTCTCTTGCCCCTATTTTGGAATTTTCTATGTATATTATCAATTAGTCTTTTTTCACAGTTTCATCTATACTGTTTGGAAAAATTTTTTTCTTGCTTAAATGCTAGGGCACCCAAAACTGTTTAACAATTGTGCTGAGAGTGAACATCCTGTGTTGTTCCATTCTAAGGGGAAACAAAAAGTGTTTGAGTTTTCACCATGATAATAGCTGTGTGGTAGGTGCTATGAATTTGTCATGTATGGCTCTTATATGTTCCTTCTGTATTCTCAATTGTTTTATCGAAAGTGGATGTTGAATCTTCACAAGTGCTTTTTTGTTCTCTGTTGATATGAACTTTTATGGTTCCTTTCATTAGTGTATGTGGTTTATGACATTAAATTATTTGTGTATATGAGCTATTCTTGCATCACTAAAATGAACCCTACATGATCATGCTATATGGTTCTTTAAGTGTACTATTGAAGTTAGTTTGCTAGTATTTGAAGAATGTTACTCCCTTTTTTGTTGCTATGACTGGATTGCACCAGCACCTCTAAGATTGCACCGACACCTCACTGAGGTGCTCACATGTTTTATTAGCTGTAGTGCTCCGGAGGGTCGCTTATCAGGTTGTGGTGCTTACACATGGTCACTGAACTTTGCTCTCTAGTTTTGCTTGCATGTGCTCACTGGGACTCTTACTTGAGACATGCAACAAAATGACTGTGATGCTTGGGGGTGCTATGTTGTTGACATTATATGCTTGGCAGGGGTTGTACCTCCTGACTACAATGCTTAGACATCCTTTTTAGTTGCACACACACCCTACAGATACGGATGGTGGCATCAAGGATTACAGACTGCTTACAGATTTGAACTGGTGACCGTATGCTTGCAAAGCAGGAACTCGAAACTCTTGTGCTATTATTTCACTAGTTTCAGTTTGCTAGTATTTCATTGAGGATTTTCTACTTCTATGTTCAGAAATACTGATCTTTCTGGTATTCGTCTGATCCTGTCTGGCTTGGGATCAGGGAAATATTCGTCTTTTTTGAAGCACTTGGGAAACGTAGGCATTGTATGTATTTTTTTCATTTTTTATAATTTTATGTATTGAATCACTGTTAGAGCAGTTACAAAGCTTTTGGGTCTAAGTCTCGGTCATACAGTGAAACACCAGTACCTTCACTAGTGCCCATTCTCCACCCCCAACAACCCCAGTATACCCCCATCACACACCCTCCCCCTACCTGTGGGGCAGATGATTTCCACATTACTCTTTCTC